TATAGCTCCCATACAACTGATTGTTCAGATATGAAATTTTTCGTTATAATTCAGATGAATTATTCATCCATTTATGTAGCTAGGACCATGAAATTTCGCGCTGCTTTCAATCATTATCAGCAGAAGAGTTACAGTGAAAATAACGAAGATCGGGTCACTATAACCTGCAGCCCCCATACAACTGATTGTTCAGATATGAGGTCTTTTATTATATCTCCTCCATTTATGCAGCTAGGAACATGAAATTTCGCACCATTTTCACTCATTATTAACAGAATACTTACAATGAAAATAACAAGGATCGGGTGACTACAACATATATCTTCCATACATCTGATTGTTCAGATATGGGATTTTACTGTAAAACTCCTTTATTTGAACAGCTAAAACCGATAAATTTCGTAAGATATTTTATAAATAATAATACAAAGTCTACTGAGAAAATCGTCAAAATCTATGCTGTATAAGCTTTATCTCCTATAGCACTGATTGTTCAGATACCAGTTTTTGCGATATATCTCCTTTATGTAGGAAACTAAACCCAATAAATTGAGTTACCGGTTTACATACCGATCACATAGCAGTGAAAATCACTTAGATTGGTGCCATATAAAGTATATCCTCCATACCTCTGATTGTTTGGAGGCGATTTTTTATATAAGTATGTAACTCCTCTATTGATGTATGCAGATGTATTCAAAATCAGTAATCGGTCAAACTAAAATTTGCAGATGTTCATGAAAGGTATGAAGCCTTCGGCATAGCCGAAGATAGCGCTGCTCTTACTTGTTTTTTCATTTGATGTATGCAGATGTATTCAAAATCAGTAATCTGTCAAACTAAAATTTGCAGATGTTCATGAAAGGTATGAAGCCTTCGGCATAGCCCCCAAACCACCATAATGAATCATGCCACTGCACAGTGTGTTGTGTGGAACAAGCTAGGTGGACAAAATTCATTCAAGGATATTTTAAAAAAGGTAACTTGTTAATATAGAGGATATGCGCAGAGCTCCGACTGAAAAGTTTTTTATGTACAACATTCTACTGTAGAGATTGGCAGGCTTCAGAATAAATTTATAATCTTACTGAAAGACGTGCAAGACATTTACTTCCTCTCAGTGTAAATGTACAGTAAATTGTACATTTTCTTTGAACACTCGGTAAAAATATTTAAAATCAAAATAGTTTTGTTTTAGCATTTTTATATAATGAAATGCTTTTTATATTTCCATGTTATGGGCTTTTCTTAGTGATTTTACTTGATTATCACGTATTTTTTATACAGTAAATTACCACCACTTGCGTGTCACTGGAATTTTATAAAATGGTATATTTTTAAATTAAATTCTAAAAATATTTTTGAAACGTTTTCGATTTTGAAATTTACGTAAACTATTCGTGGTAGTCCGAAACTTCATAGAGTATAATTTGATTTCAAAGATATTCAAATGTTACAAAAAATTAAACGTGCAATATATTGAACCAATGCACGGAAAGGGTTATCTGTTTTAAATCCGATCATTGGATCATGAAGAAACTAACGATAATCTAAAATTTTTCAGTGTTTAATTTTCAAAATTTAATTAAAAATTACTTGTTTTTACATATAAAAAATATATACAGTGGTCAAAATATTATAGCCGAACCACTTTTTGCCAAGTTTTAACGTAAAATTTTTGTTGTTATTTAATTTTGGTTATTTTTTCCTTAAAAAATAAAACCGTGAAAATCGAAGTTACCAACTTTGTGCAATATTAAAAAAAATCAACAAACTTTAGTACAAATTTCGCGCTTTTTTTAAAATACAATAAATTAGGCATTAGAAACTTGCACTTTATTCTAATAGAATTCAATGGTCTATGAAACTGCATACTCAGAAACTAATGAAAAGTTCGAAATTTTTTAACGTAAATTTGTTGAATTTTTTTTTTAATTGCATACATTTTTGAGGCAGTGTTACTCGATTGGTACATTTGTGCAGATTTGTGCATTTTTATATTGGGCTATTGGTACAACATAAAAATACAATGCAGCAATCTTGTAATGAAAATCTTTAACGAACTATTTTTCGTGATTGGGATAAAGAAAAATATTTGGGTATTCACACTAGGGATGTTGCGAATGTGGAATTTTAGACATCCGCGGATGCGAATGCGGATGCGGATGTTTATTAGCTAATATCCGCGGATGCGGATACGAATGGGGTTGTCAAGTATTTTAAAAAATTAATTTAGGTGCGTAAATCAGGTGTTTAGGTAAATAAAAAATGGAAAGGTTAGTCATTTTTATTATGTCTTTTTAGTACTTGAATTTAAAAATTGAGACATTGTGTATAACAAAAACTTTTTATTAAAAAGAAGGTAATGTTGTTGCCTTTTCGGGTTACAGCGCCACTGAATAACTACTTGCTCGAGGCGACAAACTTGAAAAACTTTAAATTTGACAAAATTGTAAATTCTTTTCGATTGACGCTGCACCAGTTGACAGGACTTTCAGTTATACTTATTTTTTTTTGCGGTGCAATAATTTCTTTTTGGGGCTGCAAATGTCGGATGTATCCTCGTTGTTTAAACACCGCTGTTTTCCAAAGAATTCTTCATTCATATTATTTTGGTTCTTTCTGAATTTAGAGAACCGGTAACGTCATCAGCGTTTTTCGATTTTAGGTTTTGTAATTCATTTTTAATCCTTTCTTCTGTGACTGGCCAGATATACATTTTATCAGTGCACTTGCACAATATTCCAGGGACCGAAAACAACAGTTATTTTTTACGAGTTAAATATTTTTTATTCCGAAATAAACAAACCACTTATCTAAATGAATCAAATTTGGTATCATATGAATGAGGACTGAAATAGCTTTTAAACTTCTACTTATATTTTTTTATAATTTAATACTAAAGAAATTCATTTACCCGAATCAAAGTTTGTTCTATGGTAATTCATTTATTCATTTCAGTGATTATAATTAGTACATTAGTATTATTATTATCTTTTATGGTACAACAAACAATAATTATTACAAACAAAGAACATACGAATACAATAACGTCTATATGATTACAAGTATGCATATATAAATTAAAAATATAGAGGAAAATATAAATAAATAGTAACGTTACAAAGTTAATAGAGAAGTAGCTTATATTTATTATAGATAGTCAGATAAAAAAATAAAAAATAGTTATATGCCCAATTTAAGTTTTATTATCAGAGAAATAACTATAAAGAAGTCGCCTATAGTAGTTTTGGTTAAGAGTGTTTCTAATTGTAGCCGGAATAGAATTCCAGATACTTACGGTGTTGACAAGAAACAGTCTTGTAGAGGTTACATAATTAAAACTGGGCACAGTTAAGTTACAAGTACGGACAGATTTGCTAAATACAAGTTTTTCATACAAATATGACGGTGTTTTTACTGACATCAGACGGAAAAGTAAAATGCAACTTCTAGCCTTCTGATAATCAAAAATATTACAGCCTAAAACACGAGACCTCTAAGTAGATATATGTATGGTCAAACCTGCGCAAGCCATAAACATAACGTGTGCGTGATTAAAAGCAATTTCAATTTTATGAACAGATCTAGAATCAAGTTTGTTGTAAACTAACTCTGAGTAGGTTACAAGTGGCAGTATGAGATGGATGGCAAGTTTTCTTCTAATTTGAAGAGGCGTATAGTTCACAAACTGTCTTAAGTTACACAGAATACCATACACTCTACCCACAACAATGAACATACTTTATTGAAATACTTTTCAATATGTGGCTCTCTTCGTTGGGACATATAGTTTTAAAGCAATTTAAGTCCTCTTTCATTTGATACCAAACTTGTTTAATTTATATAAGCAGTTTGTTTATTATCCGGCAAGGACTTTTATTTCGAAAAAAAATATATATATTTGGCCAAGTTTAACTCGTGAAAAAATTACTGTTATTTTCGGTCCCTTCAATATTTGCATTCGCAAAAGATCCGCATTGATTATTGCGAATGCGAAAGCGAATGCGAATGTTAAAATTAATGCGGTAGCTCCGCGGTTGCGAACGCGAATACGAATATTCGCAACAACCCTGGTATGAGTATAAATTTTAATTTATTTTGCTATATTCAACAATTTTTACTGAGCTTGAGTTTTTCTTTATGAAAAATGCTATTTAAAAAATACAATAATTTACACGTGTTAGAAGTTATATTTATTTGCTATTTCTTAGATCAGCACATTTCCTCATCAGACTTCTTAACCGAGTTCACTGGGGCTTGATCTATCAACTATAATAATAATATATTGGCGCTTACACATATGTTAGTGTTTGGCCGAGCTTCTCCTCCGATTTGCGGCGTGCGCCTTGATGTTGTCACGCAGAGCGGAGGGACCTACAGTTTTATGCCGACTCCGAACGGCGATTGTATTTTAATGAGTAGCTGTTTTTCATGGCAGAAATACACTCGGAGGTTTGCCATTGCCTGCCGAGGGACGACCGCTGTTAAGAAAAAACCTTTTCCTATACTTTTTTGATGTTGCTTTGACCAGTGTTTGAACCCTGGCGTTGCGGAGTGGAAGCGCGAACTGCTTACCACTACACCATAGCGGCCGACAACTATCAACTCCGGCGTTCAAAACCAGCTCAATATATTGCTTTACTAATCATTCTTTCTAACTTTACATAGGTATGTACATATGTATGTACATATACATATGTATGTTTGTATCTTATATTAAATTGCAAGAAACACAGTGGTCATATCAGCATTTCATTACCACCTTTTTATAGATTCCATTCAGCAATTGTCGCACTAACGCAGTGAGTGGCTTCTGCATACCAATTCGAGGCGGTTACACGACGGACGGTAGTATTATTGACACATACTTATAATATTTATGCATATTCAAATAAAGCATGAAAGTAAAGGAAAGCGAAAGCAAAAGCAGTAGCTTGGATAATTTCTTTCGATGAAGAAAGTGGTTTTCAAATCAGTCCGATAACGACAATTAAACTATGCGGAACAGTTATTTACGTTGTCGCTTAACCGGCCTTACGATCGCGTACTTGGTATTAAGATCAGCGGCAGAGGGAATCGACGAAAAAGCAAAGGAGAGTGTAATAAACGGCATTAAAGGAGAAGAGTTAACAGCGAATTCGTTTACTTTAGATGGCGAGCCAAAACTTTCAGTAGATTTCGAACAAATACTTCAGAATTTTAACTCCGCTAACAGCGGCTACCTAAGGGTGGCCAATTTCAGCGGCGCAGACGGCAAAGGTCGCCATTCCTGTGCACGTCGTTGTCAGAGTAAACAACCGCTTACTTGCTATTACCGCTTGGTGGTGCATCATTACCAGGCCTCGAGCACGGAATGCGTGCGCTGTCTGGAGAACGAAGTGACCTGTCAGAAGCAGCAGTGCATTTACGGCGATGGCGTGTACACACCCATAATGGCCATCAATCAAATGCTGCCAGGACCACCCATCGAGGTGTGCGTGGACGACACGGTGGTGGTTGACGTCATCAACTACCTAGCGGAGCCGATCAGCATTCACTGGCATGGACTGCCAATGTTCCGCACGCCGGAAATGGATGGTGCCCCGTTCGTTACACAGTACCCCATACAGCCAGCAGAGGCTTTTCGCTACCAATTCAATGCGGAACGCGCGGGTAGCGTCTGGTATCACAGCCATGTCGGGCTGCAGAGTGAAATGGGAGTTGGGGGCAGCTTTGTAATTCGGCAACCTGTGCTGAGTGATCAACAAGCATACTTGTACGACTTTGATTTACCAGAGCACACACTGTTGATACAGGACTACATTTATGGTAATGATTTCAGTCGTGCGCGAAACTTTCTCATCAACGGCAAGGGTAGAAATCACGCCTCAAATCTATCCGACCGCGATGCACGTCACCGCTACGAACGTTTAGAAGTGTCAAACGGTAATCGCTATCGCTTCCGAGTCATATACAATGGAGTCTTCAACTGTCCTATAGAGTTCTCGGTGGAAAATCATAGAATGCTTTTGATTAGTACGGATGGTAACGATATCATACCTGTGCTTGCTGACAGCTTTTTCATGGCCTCCGGTGAGCGTTTCGACTTTGTTCTGCAGGCGAATCAGCAAGAGCGCAGCTACTGGATTAGGGTGCGTGGTTATGAGAACTGCGCCAAAGAGAATCTTTATCAAGGAGCTATACTGACTTATAAAAGTGCTACCAGTCGGTCCTTGCCACAGGAGCCCATAGCCAAAACTTCAGTTTGTGATGACGACAAAGAGGAGTACTTCGTCGTGGGTGACTATGCGCATCAGGGGCAAAAAACTGTATCATTTAAAAAGAGCGCATGCGGCAGAACCCATTTTAAAGCAACCAATGTTGCAACCGTCGGCTTGACTTCTCTGGAACCAGTGCCATGGTCACGTGATACCGAATTTCTCACGTACTACTCAATACTTGGTTCCCGAGTATCATCCGGAAAATCGGATGTGGCCTATCAAATTGATAACATCACTTTTAGAGCGTCGAAAATTTCGCTTTTGCAAACGAATGGACTCTTCAACGAAAACGGTGTATTTTGCAATCGTTCTTTGTTGGTGGAAAAGGGGCAAAATTGTGAAATAAAAAATTGCATTTGCACCAATGTGTTACGACTACCAGCTTACCGTACCATTGAAATTGTTTTGGTCAACAACAACAATGAACCACATCCGGTGCACTTGCATGGATACACATTCCGTCTAGTGGGCCAAAATATTTTGGGAAATGTAGTGGACTGGAAGCAGGTGAGGTTTTAGTGATATTTATGTGAAAGCATTAATGTAAAGTGAAATCTCGTACGAATGCAGATACGGGATCTTGACAGACGAGGTCTTCTACAGCGCTCAACTGATGATTATCCCATACAAAAGGATACTGTCCAAGTGCCACCAGTGGGCTATGCGATCGTGCGTTTCTACAGCAGTAATCCTGGGTATTGGATGTATCACAGTTCCTTGGACCCTCAGTCAGTAAGTGGTATGATTGGCATCTTCAAAATTGGCGAGGACCACCAGATAAAAGAAGTGCCTACTCGTCTACGGTGCTAATATTACTTGTATTCATTTTACTTTTGTCGATGAGTTCCCATTTTATATGTTTGTAGCATGTATGCACATTTATTGATTTTCATAAAATTAATGAAAACATGCATAACGGTAAGGGGATATCTGCGGAAAATAAAATTCAATAATTACAAGACCCAAAGACCTAGTGATTCAAGCAAATACTTCAATAGAGATAAAGTGCGTTTCATAATTACATTACAACCGATAAGTTACCTAATAATTATTTAGGCACCTCAAAAACTGCATTATGAATTCAAACAAAAAGTTTTCTAAGAGATACCAGTTACAATTTCCACCTTACAACGCTCTTTCACGATATGTATTTGCATATGTAAATGCTACTTTTTTGTATCATATATTAGAACGCATCAGAAAAGTAGCATTTACATACGCAAATACATATCTTGCTATTAGCGAAGTTATAAGCCCTTCGCGTATTTGCGGAGGGGCCAACTGCTCCTGAAAACTGCTTACCTCTAAATCAGTGGCGTGCACACTATCACATATTGCAAAGTACTTTGTACCTTGTAGGATATGCGGAAATTCGCTAATGGTGGTTAAGCAAACATTCAAGATCACATTAAAGGCGCCGCTTTTTCCAAGTTACGTCACCGTCAAGACAAATTTGTTCTTTTATAATTAAAAATTCAGAACTTGAGCATTTCATCATCATCAATCATTCAGCTCTACGGATTTTACCACAATATCAGGATCAAAGCAACTTTACTTATAAGGAATGTATTGGCGCCATATTCACTTGTATCTTCGTTTTTGATTTGGATGTTAAGTCGATGGATTCAGGATTATGGCAGCCGTAATCTAGGTATGTTAAATTAAAATACATCCCCGGTGCTTTTCCAGCACGTCGAGATTTATTTTTATTGATGACATGTACTTACATGTTAGAATTTTTAGCAATTTCCAATCTGGAAAAAATGTGGTAGCAATTTAGAATCTGGAAAAAATGTGGTAGATTTCAAAAATATGTGGTAGATCTCTAGGTTTGGATCTAACTTTGTACAAAAATTTAAAAAAATTCTGCAAGGTTTCACCTAAATTGCAAACCTTTTAATTAGACTCTAAAAAAATCCATTTTAGTATAATAAAGTGCAAGATTGAAGTTGCTAAAAATTGCTTTGAATTTTGGCTTTTTTTTTCCTTGACAGTGTAAAGCAGTTCCTTCCATATCAAAATATTTTTCGAACATATTCTAAGAAATTTCTGCAACCTTTGGCAGTGCTGTCAGCTTTTCCTTTTATCACATCACGAAGTAGCGAACAAATGTGGAACGTTCCAGAAACAGCTAATTGGGATTTGCCGATTTTGACAATTCTCAAGTAAAGTAAACAACGCCTCAGAAACTTTAGATGCACTTAAATTTGCTAATACTTTCACAAAAAACGCTGTTTTTTGACAGGGGCAGGGGGGGCCCGGGTCTCTCCCCCCAAACCTCCAAATTTTTGCCTAGATATATAAATATATTACCACGAAATGCTTGCTTGATCATTTGTGATTGTTAGTTTACCTTGCAAAATTGCGGAAGAATATTACAGAGTATGCGGAAAAAAGTTTATTTTTTACATTTTTTTTATTTTGAGTAACGTCTGGTCAGGCTATTTGGTTTACTATAGAAGTATGTAGACTCTGGGCAAATGATGGGCAAAACGCTACTCGCGAGTAGCGTCTGCGTCGCAGCG